ATCGTCTCCAACACTTGTTACTTCTTGTCTTTTTAACAATAGGATTCTGATGGGCGTGAGGTGGTTTTGATTTTCATTTCCTTAAATAATAATTAATGATGTTAAACATCCTTTCACGTGCCTGTTGGCCATCTGTATAACTTCTTTGGAAAAATGTCTGTTCAGATCTTTTGCCCATTTTTTAATTGGGTTGTTTGTTTTGTTGTTGTTGAGATGTATGAGTTCTTTATATATTTTTAATATTAACCTCTTATCAGATATATGATTTGCACGTATATTCTCCCAATTAGTAGGTTGTCTCTTCATTTTGTTGATGGTTTCCTTTGCTGTGCAGAAGCTTTTTAGTTTGCTGTAGTCACACTTGTTTATTTATTTATTTTTGAGGAAGATTAGCCCTGAGCTAACTACTGCCAATCCTCCTCTTTTCGCTGAGGAAGACTGGCCCTGAGCTAACATCTGTGCCCATCTTCCTCTACTTTATATGTGGGACACCCACCACAGCATGGCTTGCCAAGTGGCACCATATCCACACCCAGGATCCGAACTGGCGAACCCCAGGCAGCCAAGAATCAGAACGTGCGAACTTAACCGCTGCGCCACTGGGCCGGCCCCATCACTTGTTTATTTTTTGTTTCCCTTGCCTGGGGAGACATATTCAAAAAGATCCTTCTAAGACCAGTGTCGAAGAGTGTACTGCCTATGTTTTCTCCCAGGAGTTTTATGGTTTCAGGTCTTACATTCAAGTCTTTGATCCACTTTGAATTAATTTTTGAGTATGGTGTAAGACAGTGGTCTTCTTTCATTCTTTTGCATGTGGCTGTCCAGTTTTCCCAACACCACTTATTGAAGAGACTTTGCTTTCTCCATTCTATGTTCTTGGCTCCTTTGTCAAAAATTAGCTGTCTGTAGATGTGTGGGTTTATTTCTGGGCTCTCGATTCTGTTCCATTGATCTGTGTGTCTGTTTTTCTACCAGTACCATGCCGTTTTGGTTACTATAGCTTTATAGCATATTTGAAATCAGGAAGTGTGATGCTCCAGCTTTCTTCTTTTTCCTCAGGATTGCTTTGCCTATTCGGGTTCTTTTGTTGTTTGAAAGAATTTCTTTAGCTACCTTCTCCTAGTAATGTATTTCAATGTTTAACAGCCTTCACAATTAGGGAATATTTTATTTCTTTAATATTAAGTTATTCTTCTTCATCTGATTGTAGCAGTGGCAAAAAGCAAGTGGCAGCTTTTCCTCTGTCAATAATCTTCCATATACTCAATGCCATTAATTTACTTTTCTTCCTCTGGTGAAATAATTCCAGCTTTGTTAACTTTTTTTCTCATGCTTACTGGGATGGGAATTGTGTGTGTGTGTGTGTACACTTTTTATTAAGGATAATTTAAAATGTAGAGAAGGTAGTCAAGTAGAATGCCTGTAGTCTAAGGAGCCCCCATATGCCCAGCACCCGGCTTCACCAGTCAGTTCGCTCCGTGGCCCATCTGGGTTAATGTCTTCCCTCCCACTTCCCACCACAACCTCCCACCCAGTGGGTTATTTTGAAGCAAATCACAGAAATCTTCTCATTTCATCCAGGAAAACTCTTGCCCTTAGATCTCCCCTTCTTTTTGACTCTCAGCTTCAGTCTGTGGGTAAAGGGCGAGATAAAATAGCTTTGATTCAGCAGAGAACTTGGGGGTATGGGGGCATTTAAGGGGGAGAGAAGGGAAATCTCCTTTCTGTAGTTCCTGGAGCAGAGTCATCTGACTTCCCGGCAGAAATGTGTGGCAGATTCTCTAAATCTGTTCTCCTGGAGCGAAGGGTGAGGAGAAAAAGCGAGCAGTCACAGCTCTCTTGAAGTTCTTCCAGGGACCGCTGCCCTTCACGTCATTGTCCAAATTGTTTTCTGAAGGATGAAAAACCCGCACACAGGTCCGCTCACACACACAAAGACACACACTGATCCTTTAACCTAATTTTGGAATCAGAAAATTTTTAAAGGCAAGGGAACTTCAAGGGCATTTAGCCCAAGATGTCACTTTCCTCCCATGCAGAAGGAGGCCCAGTTATGTCATGGACCTTACAGTGGGTTGAGTATTTCATAATATGTCATGTATTTTTCAGTAACACTTTAAGCATTTGTCTTGAATTACACGATCTCTCACAGACTCTATCCAGCACTGGGCAAATGCTTGCTGCTTAATAGCGTGTGTGAAAAAGGCTTTATAAACTGGAAAGTGCCAGTGGAAAGTCAGCATTTGGGTGATTCAAATGCTTTGTCAACACTGAGTTTTAAAACACTTCATTTCTTTTTTTGTTATACCAGTAAAATATACTCATTACTGAAGATTTAAAATTACTAAAAACAAGAATAACACAAGCAGAAAGAAAAACCACCCTTAAAAAACACCTATGAACACTTCTGCATATTTCCTATTTTTGCATATTTGCAATGTAAAAACATAACATGATCATTTAGAATCTAGAATTTTATATGCTAAGTTTTAAAATTCAACATTATACGTTCAAAGACATTGCCTAATGTGGAGATAGACTACAACTTGAGATACTGTATAATTACAATTAATGTTTTAATGGATAACAAAATTCAACAGCAGCATTAAAGAATTTTTAAACCATCCATAATTCTATTAAATACCATTAAAACTATCTGTATTTTCCTTCTTTATGTACACCAATTTTTATCATTATAGTGTACATACGATTTTTATTTTGCTATTTTCACTAATTAAATTTTTCTCATGCTTCTCTAGTCTATGGCTTATTTTGCACGTAGTCTTGTCTTTGAGGCTCCACAGCTAAAGCCCTGCTTTCAAACAGCTCTCCTGTTTGCTCCCACCTGTGGATCTGTGCTGGCTTTTTTTTCTCTAAAATAGCCCTTACTTACAACTCCCCCAAACTGGATTATTTCCGTGTCCCTCATTGTTTGCTCACTGTCTTGGATGTAGAGTTGTACCCTGTAGCCCTTAGTGTTATGACTCATGCCAAAAATTGAAAAATGAGCCTGTAATAAGTAACAGCGCAAGTACCGGGTGCTACTGGATGACCCTTGTTTGCCATAAGCAGGCGTGTCTCCCCATCCCCACCCCTTCATGTCACCTGTAAATTTGTATCCCTAGCCTGACAGAGCCCTAGCGAGCCTTTAGTCACGGTCTTTGTTTCTGAAAGGCCCTGGAGGCAGAGGCTGGGGCCGGCTTACATCACAGAGAAGCCCTGGGGATGGGCTGCTCACCACAGGAGCAGTCTCGGGTGCCTGCTGGGAATCAGCGGGCTTCCAGAAGCAGTCCCTGAGCCTGACACTAAGGGGCAGCATGTGCTAAAGGAAACAGCTGGCTCTGCTACAGCCAAGCGGGAACCAGGTGGAAACCACCTTGCTTTTAAACCCCAAGAGCAAAGGATGCAGAGGCCGCATTCTCGTCTCTCAAATCAGATTCCAGTAAATGTCTGTCTGATTCCAGAACTGTGTGGTAAGCGCAATGAGGAAATAAAGGGATGCTCCAGGGCTTGAGGGAGGATGGAGCGGACACCGTCAGAGGTGGAGGTTGGATAGTCGGGAAGAGTGCAGAAGAACTTCCAAGGGGACATAGTTGAACTGAGCCTTAAGGAGTGCATGGAATTAGCATTGCAGGCGATGGGCCCAGAAGGTGCCAAGGCATGGAAGACTGAGAGAGCGCGGCATTTTCGTCCTTTTGTAGGCAGGGTCAGAACTTTGAATGCCCAGGAGTGTGGGCATTGATGTGTATTTTAGATAAACTACTCAGGCAGCAGAATGGAGCTCAGATGGAGGAGAATAGACAGAAGAAAGGAGAAAGAGCAGAAAGGAAGCTATCACAGTAATAGAGACCAAAAGTTATCAAGTCCTGAAGGTGGTGAAGAATATAGAGAAATGGATGAGTTCAACTGACATTTTAAAATAGTGCCAAAAGCTGGGTGACGAGTGCACCTGGGGGACTGAGACGGCCAGCACAGCAGGAGGGGCAGGCTGCGTGGGCAGAGGACATGCGTGATGCTTTGGTTCTAATTGAGTTTGAGGAACTTGTGGGACACTCAGGCAGGAATGAGGTCCAGGAGGTGGTTGGGTAGGTGGTTTTGGAGACCAGCAAAGATCTGGGCCAAAAAATATGATTTGGGGGTGATTGAAACGATCGGAGTAGCTGAAATCGGTGGGGAACGCATTTAAGAGTTGGAGAGAGGCAAGGGCATTCAGAAATGAGGAGACCCAGAAAAGCGTGTTCTTGGGTGGGAAGACCCGACATGAAAAAGATGTCAGTGTTCCTGCGTTCCATACGTTTAACATAACCCCACTACAAATAGCAACAAAATTTTCTCCAAGGGCAAGTTGCTTCTGTCGTTTTTCCACAAGGCCTGGCATAACATACGTGCCTGATAAGTATTTCTTGACCACATGTGGGCACATTCATCCAGTGGAATAACGCAACTTTCACAAAGAATGGGGTAGATCTGCATGTGCTGATATAGCAAGATTTCTAACATATATATTAAGCGGGGGAAAAAAAACCCAAGGTGCATGCATGTTGATGCTGTTTATGTATATTTAAGGGTCCTTGTGTAATATTATAGATAATTATGTAAGTTATATACATACACCTTTTTTTCTGTAAGGATAATTATAGCTGACACAGACATCGCACTATGTCCCAGGCACGTGTTTTAACTCAGTGAATCCTGTTGGGTAGACACTGCTCTTATCATGTTTATACACATTAGGAAGCTGAGACCAGAGGGGTGAGGGACTTGCCAGGGTCACATGACTAGTTGGTGGCAGAGGTGAGAACTGAAGCCAGGCATCCGTGCAGCCACGCTGCCACCTCACAGGGGAAAGGGTTAACGAGGGGTCTAGGGTGGGGAATGGTGGACTTTTATTTCATACTCTTGAGTATTCAAAATATTATTTTACCACATGCATTATTCCCTTAATAATAAAAAACTAAATTAAACATATATTTGGGAATTGGGCTTTAGGAATACAGTGGGAGCATCCGCGGGGAGTGGATGGGAGGTCCCTGTGGCGTGCCGGGCGCTGAGAGGCTCGCTGAGGATACATGCCAATAGGCCTGTCAGGAGGAAGGAGGAGTGTGAGGCTGGTGTGCTCTCTGCGTCACGCATTCCAGGCCTGGGAGGACAGGCCGCAGTGAAAGGTGCGGAGGCCAGTGCTGGCTCTGGTTTTCCCAGTGACTCTTTAAGTTTCTTTTACTTGGAAATCCCCCCTGTGGATTCCTGCTGCGGCTTGTTTCCATTTGTTTGAGCAGGCGATGCGTTCCTATAACTGAAAAAGTTAAAATGAGTTAAGAGGGTGTGAATGAGAGACTCCCTCCCCACACCTTCTTTACTTGCTGTGAATATTTGCAGGGACTCTGTAGGCAAATGCAGAAGGTGTGCATGTATAGTCTTAGCTTCTTTCCTACCAGCCGGATCGCTGCTTTCTTCTTTTCTAAATCGGCACATGGAGAGCTTCCTAGTTCTTTTTTTCTACAGCGGCACAGCTGTCCTTTGGGTTAGTTTAACTGGTGTGCTCTGACTTTATTCCCTTGACCTTGCCATCGGCTTTGCTGAGGAGTCCCCGCGTTTGAATCAGTGTTTGTTCTTTCCTCCTCTATTTTTAGAGTTCTTCCCGGTCACCGACGTCCTAGCGCCTGACTGCGTTGGACCACACGCCTGGTAACGAGGGCTGACTGAATGCTCCCTCTCTCGCTCTTTGCCTTCTCATCTGATGCACATGAAGGGCGCCAACCTTGCCTCGATGGCCCCTGGGGCAGCGGCTCACACCTGTTCATCCTGGTGATTAAAAACAGACGCAGAGGCCCTGCCGCTTGAATCTCTTGTCACTGGTAATTTTCATCTTCCTGGGAACAGGTGTGCGAGGCGGAACCCCAGTTATAAATGCATATAGTTTCACCATAAACACCTGTTGACGGAGCTGTGTGTTGGCTGAACAGGTATGAGGTTAGGTATATTCTTCCTCTTTTTATTTATTTTTAATCTGTGCTTTAACGTGACTCTGTGCTTGTTGTCTGGTTGCTAACTTACAAACACGCTGGAACTGCCACATCTTGGGTGGGGGGGGTGGGGATTAAGGAGGAGCAGACCCCCCTGCACAGGTCTCCTCTGCAGCTTGCCTTGGACGCCAGAGCACTTGGTTCAACTGAAGTTTGTTAGGGTTTAACAACCATCCCTCTCGGGGTGACCCGGGGGTGGTGATGCTCTGTTTTAACCAAAGTGTTGATGTTTCCCCACCTGCTTATTTTGAACAAGTGTCTCCTCCCTGAGTCTGGTGGTCTGCCCCTGGAGTGGTCAGCTCTGCTGCCGACATGCCCACCCAGCTGGAGATGGCCATGAGCACCATGATCAGAGTGTTCCACCGCTACTCCTGCAGGGAAGGGGACAGGTTCAAGCTCAACAAGGGGGAACTGAAGCTGCTCCTGCAGCGCGAGCTCACGGAATTCCTCTCGGTGAGTCACGGCTTTCCTGCCCCACTCCGTCGAGGTGGTTGGGGGACCCAGCCAGGGACAGCTCTGTGTACGTGGTCTCCTGTGATTCTGCCACAAACACAGTATAATTTGTTCTGAGATTCAAAATTTAGGGGAAGGCAGCACTAGAGACCTTTGCTTCTGTGAATGCAGGCATGTGCTCTCCTCCATGTTGCCTGTGGTGAGGATGCCCAAGTGCAGACGTTATATTTGAGGCTTCCATCAATTACTCAACGTCCTGGTGCTGCAACCAAAGACATAGCTAGTTATGCCGGGAGTTATAACTAGTTATACTAGTTATACCTGAAGCTTTGCTCAGCTGGCAGTAAATTAATAAATATTATGTTTGGGGACAGAAATGAAGACTGGGATGCTTTATGCTGTGGTGGCAAATTTTTTAGTAAATGACAAATACTTAGCTTTGTCAGCCAAGCCCAAGCTGATTGGGATCGACGGATGGGGGTGTCTAGCCAGTGACCAGTTGGGTAGCAAGCAGATTCATAAAGATTCACCAAAATAGCTAGGAGCTCAGTAAATCTACGCGTGAAAGCTTACAGTGGAGTGTGAGGCCTGCTCTGAGGAAAACCCTCGTTCTGGTGGGGATGAAGCTGCCTTGAGTTGATTTTAGCCCAGTGTTCTGCCCTTGTGTGTGTTTACTCTGTCCAGACCCTGTAGTAAGACGACAGTGACTGTAAGGACCCCACTCTTTTCTCCCCACCCTCCATGGGAAAAACTTAAAGTCAAACGCTTTAACATAGTAATTCTTCGTGGTACTTTTTTACTGATTTTAGGAATCCCCAGGACCTTTTTTTTCCCCCTCAAATTTGGGTTGGCAGCTATGTTATAGAACATTTAGAATAAAAGCTTCAGTAGGGCAAACTTGGCACATTGATTTATTCAAGTGAAATTTACTCTTGTTTGTGATCAATTAAATTTAAGTTTCCAACCAGCGAATGGTTGGCAGCCAGGGAGAAGGCAGTGGGGAGTTCCCCCGAGGAGACGAACGGCTTTTGGAAACCTCTCATCAACCTGTCCTCACAGGGGAGGTGGGCTGCCCAGCCCTGCCCTTCCTCAGCCCCCATCTCCCCGTGGGCTCCTTGCTGTCCTTCCTAAGGATAAAAAGCCGTTGTCCGTACGAGAGCTGCCCTTCCCTAGTGGCTCTTTGGCGTGTCAGATGTTGTGCTCAGTAAGGCTGCCGGATGAAACCTTGAGTGTCGCATGCAGCATTGGGGACGTGCGTAACTAGAAAACTATTCCTTGCCCATCTGAAATTCAGATGGGCCTCCTGTGTTTTCATTTGCTAACTCTAGCAACCTGGTGCCCAGGACTTTTAAAAGTGTGTTGAAATATCCCCCCAAATTTGCGGGGAGATACTATTCTCTCCATTTTACAAATAAGGAAATTAAAAAGCATTACGTGATTTGCTCAAATCCCATTGTTGGTAAGTGCCAGAGCCCCCACTATCCCTTTTTGGCTTCAAAGCTGCCTCCTTTCCATGTCCCCCACCTGCCTCCCCGTGTCCCGGCCCTCGACCTGTGATGGCGGCCCTCGACCTGTGATGGCGTGTGAATACACTCTGAGCCGCTGTCTGCTCTGCTTGTTCTGTAGGTCTGAGCCAGGATTCTGTGGCCCTGGAGCAGAGGGCTGGACTCACTTAGAATTTGTGCCCGGTTCAAACTGACCTGCAAACAGGCTCTTGGAAATTGTCCTTAGATACTAAAAATGCAAATCAATACTTTAATGTAAATAAAAGGAAGATGCAGTTTCAGTTGTCATTGTGAGCTTCAAAGCCTGGGAGTTAGAAATTTTTTTTTTTTCGTTTTAGTGCCAAAAGGATCCCCAGTTGGTTGATAAGGTAATGCAGGACCTGGATGCCAATAAGGACAATGAAGTGGATTTTAATGAATTCGTGGTCATGGTAGCAGCTCTGACAGTTGCTTGTAATGATTACTTTGTGGAACAATTGAAGAAGAAAGGAAAAAAAGATAAGTAGTAAGCTAAGCTGAAGGTGGAACTGTATCCCAAGTTAGTTGCTTGTTCATTCCTATCCTCCAGACCTGTGGTTACAGTAATGCCCTTTACAGAGATAATATACATATATTTAATTGCCAATACTGTTAAATGATGTACACTTTAATATATTGACTTTAAATAAATATTCCAAATCTTATATGCCCTACTTGGAATTTTCCTATATTATTAAAGATGTTCTATGCACTTTTTGTCTGTCAGAGCATCACAAAAATAAAAAATTTAGCTACTTTCAAATGAGACTAGAACTCAGCAAATTCCTCAGACAGACATTCCTCATTCTTGAATTCTGTTTGAACTTCTTATTAAAGAAATTGACTGGCCCTCCCCCTCCCCCTCCTTGTGATTCTGCTTCAAATGGAAGAAGCTGTGAGGCTCTGTAAAGCAGAAAGGCTGATGAATAGAAGAAAGTGCTGGCTTTTTCCAGTGAGTGAGGTCAGGGAAGGGTAGATTCAGGGCTCGGTGCTCAAGCCAAGAGAGCTGAAGACAGCAGCTCTTGGGGGCTGGTGTGTAAATACCGTCCCTGGCCCCTTGGGTCACGTAATTCTGAGACAAGTGTTTATACCGTTTCCCAGGGCTTCCCCTGGGGTTAAGCTTCAGTGACCCCTGGGGAGGCTGGCTTAATCTGGCACCTTCTCTGGGCTACCTTCCCTTTCTTGCCTCACTCTGGTTCCCCACCTTGTGTCCTGCACCTTTCAAATCAACAACTTGCATGCACATCCTCGTCTCAGGGTCTGCTTCAGGGATAACCCAAACCAGGACAGATCCTTAGGAGAACTTTAGAAGGGAATGATATGACTATATTTATACTTCTAAATCCTTACCCCGGCTACCGTGTGAAGAAAGGACTACAGAAGAGGGCACCGTGGAAGACGGAGAGGAGTTAGGAGGCCGTGGCTGTGGTCTGCGTGAAAGGTGGTGGCGTCTCAAGCCAGGATTTGAGCAACGGCAATGACGAGAAGCAGGTGAATTGTTAGTCTGTTGGAGGTGGGACTTGCGGGTGGATTGTTAAGGAGAGGTAGGAAGAGAGAGCGGTCCAGGATGGTAGAGCAGTCACTGCTGTTGCCTATCCAATGTCTGTCCTATCTTTCTTCCATACATCAGAGCCCTGATTTGTGCAGGGTGGAATGTGGCCAGCTAAAATCCTCTATTTCTCAGCCTCTCTTGCAGCTGAGGTGGGGTTTGTAACACACTTCTGGACAATGAGAGAGAAAGCAGAAGTCTACTGGGAATTTCTGGGCATGGTTTGCTATTTCCATATAGGCTCTAAGCCTTCTACCTTGTTAATCCCTTCCTTTTCTTTCCATTGGGATGTGGATGTGAGGCTGGAGGCTGGGCTGCTGTCTTGCAACCTTGAGATCAGTGAAGAAAAAAGATAGAAGCAGCCCAGGACATTGTTGTCATTGAGGAGCCACTGCCCAGCCCTGGTCTGCCTGCCTCTGGTCCTCCTTAGGTGAAAAAAAATAACTGCTCTCTGGTTAAGTTAGATTCTGTTACGTGCAGCCAAACACAGTCTCTAATGTTTAGATTTTTGGTCATGCAAATGATATTTTACTAAATGGGAAAGACTGGGAGAGGAAGAGCTTTAGTGTGGGGTCATCAAGGGGAAATCTCTCCCTCTGTTTGAGGTGCCTATTGGACAACCAAGTGGAGCCATCACATGGGCAGTTGGGTATATGATCTAGCCTAGAGTTGAGGGTCAAGAAGGGACTGGAGACACGGATCTGGGCATCATTAACATCTTGATGGTTGTAAGCCACAGGAGCAGAGGAGATCACTTAGGATGAGAATGTAGATGGAGAAGAAGGAAGGTGCAAGAGTTATCAGGAAAAAGAGGAGGCAGCAAATGATACAGCCAAGGCACGGCCAGGGAGAGGAGGAGAGTGGGAGAGTAGAGAGCTGCAGAAGCCTCGAGAAGAAAGCTTTTGACGAAAGAAAGAGGCTGAAAGCACTGAGAGGAGCTGTAGGATGAGAAGGACTGACCATTGGATTTGCCGGGGTAGAGATGACCAGCGACATCCATAACCCTGACAGGAGTGGCTGCTTACAAAAGTGCCTCTCCCCTGGTCTGGCAGATGGAAGGTACTCAATAAACGTTTGCCTAATGAACAGATGAAAGAACCTGCCAGTTGTTGATTTTCTAGGGCTAAGACCTGTCATTTTTTTCCTTAAAAGAATATTGTTTTGTCTCCCTCAAGCCAGTTCTGAGCAGATAAAACAGAATTTAGATGCCAGAGCATTCAAGAGCAGAAATGTGGACCTTGGTGTTTGCTCACCCCTGTCTCTCAGAAGGTTGGAAACAAAAAATGAGAAAAAAAATGCAACACATATTTCAGGAGAGTTTAGGCTTTTTTCTTACCAGAAGTCACTTTACTCATGCAGAAGGTCTGAACATTTCCCAGGGGCCTTAAAACTTTTAATTTGGTCCAAAGTTTACGTATTCTAAATGGGTCACCAAAACATAAAATGTAAACCCCAAAATTTCCCCACATATTAATCTAGGAAGGACCTTCTCAACATAGAGAAATAAATGGAAAAACAATGTTCATTTCACGGCGTTTCTAAAAATCAATCAAAAGTGAGGAAAAGCAATTTGTGTGTCAAATTAGATTTCAAATGAGTAAGAATTACGTGAGGTACCGAAAGCTCTTTTCTAGTAAAGGAAAGGCTCTCCTTTCTGTGTGTTAGGTACATACAATCAGTTTGTAGGAGGCAAAATTATTTCTTCTGCCCAGAGGCACTGGCATTTGCTATAGTTTAAATCAATTTTAAACGCTGTTCAAGAGTCATCTCTGAATTAGCACGTTCTGATGTTTAACATTTTCCCAGCGTGGTTACTGGGAGACGAGCCTTATGGGAGACGACAGCCTGCGTCTGCTCGGAGCCCTGGGTTTGAGATGTGACTGACGGTACAAACAGCTAGAAAGCATTAAACAAAATCTTAAGTTTTAATTTTAGAAACAGATATTTTTCTTTTCTCCGCAAGGATAGTGGGGTCAAGGAAGGTTTTCCAGGGGCAGAAGCCTGGAGTCAAGTCGCTGACAAGACAAAGAAACTGGGGAAGCTTATTAAAGGAAGAGAGGCCGGGGGCAGAGCCGTGCAGGTGGGAAGTAACAGCAACTGTTCTGGGGAATGAAGTGGTTTGGGCACCCCAGGGTGTGGGGTCGGGGAGAGCCGGAGGCAGGACTCAGAGTCAGAAAGGGCCTCCGGTGCTAATGGGAGACGTTTGAAATCCTGAATGTTATGGGAAATCATTGTGGGATTTTATGCATTTTTTTTCTTTTAAAGTAGTTTTTCTTATGTTTTTAAAAATCCCTTTAAAATTTATAAATCTTTAAAGCAGTGATTTTGAACCCTAACTTCACATTGCATTCCTCTGAGATGACATTAAAAATATAGATGGATAAGCTCCACCCACACAAGGATCCTGACTCAACTGGTCTGGGGATGGGGCTCAGGCATCAGCAGTTTTTAAAGACCATCAGGTGATTCTGATTGCAAACAGAGTTGACACACTGCTTTGATGGTGATAATCAGATCAAGGTCTGGCTGAGCAGCGTCTAGGACAGCGGCTGCTCCAACTACAATGTGCATGTGAATCACCTGGGGGTCTGATTCTGCATCAGTAGGTCTGGATGGTGGCTTGAGATTCTGTTTCTAACCAACTCCCAGGTGATGCCCATGGTGCTGATAAAAATGGTCTAGGTTCTAGGATGAAGAGGAAAGGGTTTGAACAAAAGTATGGAGGTGGTGTTTTGGAAGCAGGCAGCTGGAGATCGGTTCCTGCTGGGGCATACCTCCTTTGGAAGAATATAAGACAACACAAGGCATTAGGCACAGAGAGGGCCCAGGAGAAGGGGAGAGAGATGGGAGAAACCAGGACAGACCTTCCTGGGACACTGGTGGGGGTAAGGAGGCGGGGAGGGAAAGGGTGCCACTAGACATCCTCAGGTCAAAGCTCTTGGGCAAGTTATTTAACTTCTTGAAGCATCGTTTCTCTGGCATGTCTCAACTGTGGTGGCTCACCTGCATCCTAATCAACTAGGGGTACTTACTGAAAATTGGGATTCCCAGGCCCCACCGCAGGTCAAATGAATCAGAATGGAGGAGGAGGGTGGGTGAGAATCTGTATCGATAGCAAGTACTCTAGGTGATTATTAAGGACCCTTAAGTTGCATGGTTAGAACTCTGATAAAGTAAGACAGCAAGTGCCTGGAACACAGTAAGTGGTAACCGTGGAGATGAAGATGTGGTAACGGTAATGGGACAAACATCTCTGGTCCAGCCTAGATCTGTAGCTTGTGGGTTTTATCCAACCCACTCTCTCAAGCTGGTTCCTACCAGAGATGTCTGCCAACTCTGCCACGGGGAAAGGCTGTTTCTCTTGACTTCTCCAGCTTTCTCAAAGAGTTTCTTTTCAAGAAATGGAACGCTATGCAGTCACTAAACATGTTTTCAAAGAACGCTTATTATAATGGAAAGTGTCTACTGTATAATATCAACTTTAGACAACAGGATATTTGATACGGGGCCGACCCTGTGGCTGAGTGGTTAAGTTCTCGCGCTCTGCTTTGGCAGTGCAGGGTTTCGCCGGTTCAGATCCTGGGCGCGGACATGGCACCACTCATCAGGCCATGCTGAGGTGGCATCCCACATGCCACAACCAGAGGCACTCACAACTGGAATCTACAGCTATGTACTGGAGGGCTTTGGGGAGAAGGATAACAAAAAAAACATATTTGACAGGGTCCCAATTTGGTTTTAAAAAAGTGTTGCAGCATGTTTTTTTAAGATATTACCTTGTTTCTACTTGCAATTTTTCATTTTCTTTATCCCAACCAAGAAGAGAGTGGGGTTCCTTATCGAGGGGAGGTCTGTGATGGGCTGGGAAGCAAAAGTTGGCTAAAAACCACTTCCCTTTCCAGCTTTTGTTTCCAAGAGCCACAGCCATTGAGGCAATTATGTGAGGTGCCTCCAAGGAAAATGTCCGGAGAAAGCGAATGATTGCTGAGGAAGGGATTTCCTCTGAGACGGAAAAAGAGATTCCCCTGAGCTCTGGAGGAAGGAGAGGGGCTGGTGGAGTGCGGGCCCCGTGGCATTCCTGTAACCTCTCCCTAGGGTCCTCTTCTCGTATCTAAG